TGCAGTGCAGCTTTTTGCCACTAGGCCACCAGAGCTCCCCGAAATAAATTTTTTTAAAGTAAAAAGCAATTTTTTACAACAATGAAAAGTAGTTTTCTAACAACAAAATTTATTTTTCCATTTGTCTGTTACTAAACTTTATATTATTTTCTTGGAGAAGATAGTTTATATAATTTCACTGTTTCCAAATTTATTGAGACTTGCTTTGTGACCTATAATAATGATAACCTTCCATGTGATCTATCATAATGATCCATATTCATTGAAAAAAATTGTATATTATGCTGTTGATGAATGGAGTGCTCTGTATATGACTTCTATGGATATTGGATTTACAATGTGGCTCAGGCCCTTGGTTTCCTTGTTGATCTTTATAATAGATGTTCTATGCATTACTGAACTATAGAAAAGTAATTTTCTCTCTTCCCCAGACTTTAGTCTCCTAATCTCGGTCCCTAGAAACACTATTGTGTGTTTTTTTTAAATCCCTGAGTATCATTGATAAAAAAAAATCTATGCCTTTGTAAGCATATACAAATTAGTAGAAATGCATACAAATATGCAAATATGTGTAAATGTGTAATACTCTAATACTTTAAGCAATAGGTGACTTGTCTAGACAATGGAATATTATTTATCCAGTAAAAAAACGAATGCTTTACATAGACATGAACATGGATGAACCTTGAAAACATGTGTCAAGCTAAATTATCCAGACAAAAACGGTCACATATGATATGACTACACTTGCATAAAGCTCGGAAGCAGGAATGGCATCCATGTCCATAAATAGCTTGCCTCCGGAAACCCTATGAACCTGGAGAAAGGATGAAAAGTGGTGCATGCAAGTGTCGAGGACTTTCGTTCAAAGGGTCGCTATGAGTCACCTACGATTCAATGGCACTGAACAACAACAACACTTGCATATAAAAAATGCCCACATGAACAGTTTCCCAAGCATCCTGAAAAACCTACGACCAGAAGAGGATAAAATAGATGAATGGGACTTTCTAAGAATAAAACCCCTATTCACATCCAAAAACTTCTCCAACAGAGTAAAAAGTAAAGCCACAAACTGGGAAAAAATATTTGGTAATGACATGTCAGATAAGGGACTTATATCTAAAATTTATAGACTACTTGAGCACCACAAGATAAAGGTAAACAACCCAATTGAAAAATGGGCACAGGATATGAACAGACACTTCACCAAAGAAGACATTCAGATACAAACAAACACATGAAGAAATGCTCAAAATCCCTAGTTCTAAGAGAGATGCAAATCAAAAGAATTATGAGATGTCATCTCACCCCAGAAAGAAAGAATAGCAAAATTCAACAGAGCAGCAAACAGCAAATGCTGGCGAAG